AGGATTCCACCTGGTCTCCAGGAGCACCCCAGCAGGCTGGCTCCCCTGACCTCTGCTTCCTCTTCTCTGCCCTGGGCAGGGTTTCTAGCATGGGGCTTCTGAGGTCCTGACTGTGGAGGGGGTGGGGAGCGGAGAGAGGAGGGTACTTTCCACTGCCCCTTTCATTGTGGTCCATCCGCAGGCCAGCGCCCTTTATTCAGGAAGCACCTTCGAAGTGGCAGGCAGTGCCGAGTGAGCAGGGGAGGGGGCGGACGCTGCCATCTAAGAACCGTGGCCCCTGCTGCCAAGTGTGCAGAGCTCGGGCCACGCCTTTGGAAGGCTTCAGCGGAAGGGGGCTCTGTCCTTGTGTTGGGGCCCCAGCCTGGTGGGAGTTCCAGATCTAGCTAGATGTCTCCTCTGCTTCCAGTCTTCCGGGAACGTCTGGGTCACTCATGAAGAGATGGAAACTCTAGCCACATCCACCAAAACAGTGAGTCTGGCTCTTGGTGGGTGGCTCCCTGGAGAGCCAGGGGCCAGTTGTGGGAAGGCAAGGGCACTGTGGGTGATCTGGTGCGATAGGAAGGCCCCTGCTGTATGTATCACTGGGCTCTGTTCTCGGGGCAGGGGGTCTGTAGGGGGCGTGGTGAGACTGGGGATAGTTTGTGTGCGGAGAGGCCTCATCCTCAACCTCTGGTCCCTGAAGTGGAGCAGAGTTGGGCTTGGAGGGCTGTGCCCTGACTGTGGAAGCCGGAGTCCCTGCCTTGTGCTTGGTCCTTGGGGGAGGAACAGCAGGAGTTGGGAGCCTGGTGTCCTGCCAGCCTCCTCCCCGTGCCGAGAGTGTTTGGACGCGTGTCTTGCACAGGCTTGCTCCCGTCTCACTGCACGCATGGGCGGATGCAGCCGCCTTCTGGTCTCTTTCCCTTCCTCTCTCCCACTTGCTTTTGACATGGTGAGAACTCGTTTATGGGGAGACCCCCCATACTGGAAGCGCCGTGTCATTGGGTATAAGCAGCCTGAAGGCTTGTGACACACGGGGCTAAGTATGGCCCGGTATTTCCTCTAGCAGGGTATGAGCGTGTCCGGCTTATCTGACACTTTCTAGAACAGCGGTTCTCAACCTTCCTAGCACCGTGGCCCTTTCATACAGTTCCTGATGTGGTGGTGACCCCCCAACCATAACATTATTTCCGTTGCTACTTCATCACTATAATTTTACTACTGTTATGAATCGGGCCACCCCTCTGAAAGGGTGGTTCAACCCCTAAAGGGGTCACAACCCACAGGTTGAGAACTACTGTTCTAGACGAATCCTCCTCCTCATACGCCTCCTCGTTTACGAAGGGGAAAAGCGCCTCATTTTATTCATTGAACTTTGCATCTGCTTGGGCTGACACCTTAATTTGACAGTTTTCCCATGTTGACATAGGAATGGGCACTCCTTTAAATTTCTTGTCCCAACAAACTTCCTCTGGTCACCTGCCCAGTACTGTGCTGCTGCTACTGCTGGTGCCTGGCGGGGTCAGGGCTGGGGAGCTGATAGGTTCTTGACCGCGCTTGTTTCCCCTGACACGCTGCACGTGTTCCTGCTACTAGGACAGCGAGGAGGGCAGCTGGGCTCAGGTAAGCCTCCCCTTCACTGGGACGAACTCTGACAAGTCAGGACCCTCTTCTCTGGACAGGTGCTCTCCCCAAAGAGGTGGCTTTACCTGCCAGCAGGAAGAGTGCAGGGCACAGGTTCCGCCTCCTGATGAGCCTCCCCCTCTCGCCTCCCCTTTCGCCGCTGACTCTGTTTTCTCAGAATGGCAGGTGTGGAACCCAGAGGGCTAGAGAGCTCTTCTCCCCTCAGTCTGGCTCCTAAGCGCTCAGTCACTCTTGTCCACTGGCTCCCGTGAGGGTCGTTCTTTAAAAGAGCCCAGAGCTCAGAGCAGGCCCTTTTTACTAGTTAAGTCAAG